AATTTCACAAATCTGATCTCAATCTCTTCCTTATCTTGTTTTAATTTTATATTCTCGGCCTTGATATCGGCATTCTCCTTCCTAAGTTCAGCAATCTGATGAACGAGATCAGAATTTAATTCTCTTAATGAATCAATGGTGTGAATATTTTCCATTATTTTTAAAACATACGGGTATATTCAAATTAATAAAAATCACGTGCGCGTGAATAATCTTCACGCTGATCACCTTTGCCAAGAAAAATTCTCGATCATATATACATGTCATCGATAGCAATACATCGGAAAAAAATTTTTAAGTGACTGCTTTCAGCAATACTTTATTTATGCAATATAAAATACATGTGAAGGGAAATCTATCTACCAGCTATTTCTTGATAATTTTTTTGATCCTTGCTCTCTTACTGGCTGAGGAATTATCAACCGTTACCCGATCCTTTAACAACCCAACGATGATTCCTATAACCTTTTTCACACTGCTCCGTAGGACATCGAGGTTTTCTTTGATTGCGGTCTTTGAAAGATTTATCTGATACTCACTATTACTTGTAGCATATATTCCATCGGGAGTATATATGATGAAATGCCACTCCATGGCTGAAAATAAACTCGATAATTAGAAATTTACGTGATTAAAAATTCATTTCCGTAATAGAGAAATCTATTCTGAAAGAACGAGCTCCGCTCTACATACCTGTGGATACAATTCCATAGAGATAATCAAAATAATCGCCCCCAAACACTTGATCCGCCGTTCTTTTTTTCTTGTTAGTTTGGTATGCACTCTCAAGCTCCGGCAAATTTTGAGCATAACCAATCCTGATGTTGCGTGGTTTGGCCTCAGTGATGCAAAGAAGATCCTCAACACTTTTGATTGCATAATCGACACGACCTGTGGACTCTTCACCTGATATATCCTTCTGCAATGCGATGAAAATATCTTCTGTTGTATATTTTTTTTTAATGATATCGATCGATGCGTGTAATATTGCCGAAATAAATTCACATCTCGTCGCTTCGTTGGCATCGGTCATCGTTTCAATATTCGATAATTTCAGAATTATATCGTCCATGCAATGATTGAGTGCTTTATCGTTATCGTCTATTTTCTCGACCACTACAAATGGAAGTATGTAAACATAAGATGCTTATATTATGAAACAACTCGAAATAGATATGAAACACTTACCAGGAACGAATTGTTTTATATTTGTTATATCCTCCCCATTAACCTTATTTTTCCAGAGCATTTCTTTCAGGTCACCAGAGTTTTATATGTCGAGAAACCTCTTAATTTTTGCTCTGATATCTCATCGATAAAATCTACAAGAACGGTTGCTGTACCCAATGTGAACCCTATACTTCGAAACTTTTCTTCCGTTAACTTGAGAAATGCACGACCAGCTATTTTTTCTTTGCGGAAGATTGCAAAGTCATCGTCATCGAGTTTTAGATCTCGCCTCTGTAAATAGTCAATAAGCTCCTCTGTATCTAGATCTCTCACAACGTCCGCCATTGTTCGAGTTGACCTTTCTTCCGTTAAAGTAGAGGATGTGAGGAGGGTGTTGAATCGTGAGAAGACATTGTTTTTTATAATGGCATATGGCGTAATGAATCTGGTTTATGCTATGTGTTATGACCTCCGGCTGAAGTGAGATAATGCAAGGAATAGAATGAAAAAATTTTTTGGACGGATCAGTGTCTATTTATAGTATATGGATTATGCAGGTTACAAAGTTGACAGACATACGACGATCTCGGAGATTGCGGAGATTTCGACTTCCTACAACATAAGTCTTTCAACATACGCACTAATGAAGATTGTCGAGCTGACCTTTCTTATTACCTTTTCGAGTCTCGTTTACGCTTGATCTTATCGTGAAGCATGTTTATTATAGAAATATCTTCTAGCCTAAATACGTATAGCGAAAAAAAAGATTTACGCATGTTTCACAAACTTCTACGCTGATCACTGATTCGTCGATTAAATATGTAATGCGATTTATATACTTTCCTTATCTCATATGTACCCGCTATAGTCACCATGTAACTACCTCCGGCAAGAAAACACTAATTAATTTTAAAAGAACCACAAGGGGGATGGGGTTATCATTTCTTATTAGTAGTTTAATCAAAGTTCATATGTTACAATGACTTGGCATTTCCCAGATCATCGAGATCATTGACTTTTTACGAGATCGTCAAATTAGGGAGTGTTTTACCGGATGCAAACACAGGCAAAACCTGACTCATGTTAAGTAGTTAACCGAAAAAATAACGAAAATAGATTTGGATTTGGAATAGGTTTAATGGTCCTGGATGGTATAAAATACTTCGTTTTCTTCTCTTGTAAGCTGGGCACCAATAACGTTTTTTTTTACTGCTAATTCGAAATAATATACCATTGTTCAATATACCACTATTAATTAAGACTATAAAAACATATTTACTTACTGCGAACTTTGTATTTAGGACCGTGAAGATGAGCAGTACTAACGATAGTACCACCCCCAAGAGCAACGACAACACCGTCCCCAAGAACAACGATAACATCGTCCCCAAGAGCAATGACAATAACACCTTCCAAACTAGGGATATTTCTTTTAATGTCTCCAGAATCATCACTCAAACGCCATCTAATCCAAGATCTAGCCAAAGGACACCTAATCCCAGTCGTCAACACAGAAATAAAAGAGACAGCTTTGGTAAGTAAAATCCTGCTAAAGTTAAAGATAATTAAAAATGTTGATGTAACTTTAATAAAATTGAAAAATGTTAATTTATTGTATTAATTTAGATGATTTGGACTATGATCTGGAAGAAAAAATTTTTAAAGAAAATCCCCTTCATTTCGTTAGTCCAGAATATGCACAAAAATGTATAGATAATGATGATTACGATATATATCCTCCTGAAGTCGCCCAGGAAATCTTAGATCAATTGTAAAAAACCAACTGCTTGGTCCATCTTTTTTGAAACATATATCTTTTTATCTGTATGCCGTTTTATATAATAAAGAACGGGCAGTAGGCATCCGATTTTCTACACACTACATCGCTTCCCTAAGGCCCATTATAACGTAATGTGATTTCTCGGTTACGATGTGGTTATAATTATTTTCAGATTGAATTTGCTATATTTATGCGTTATTTTCTGCATTAAATATATTCGACTAGTCAAGATATTTTATTATAGCAAATATGATAAGTAATACTAATAATAAAACTGATCAAAGCGAAACATTTGCTCATTTATATGAGGTGCTTTTATATAAGAGGAAGGATATAATAGCAATTCAAGAAAAACTTGGTATTAATAGTAATACGTTAAAGCAAATAAAACACGAGTCCGATGGAAAAACACTCGCTGATTCATATAAGTTGCTATTACATTTGGTGGGAGATTTAATACTGATACAGAAAAATCTCGACATTGATGGCAACCCCATTCTGGCAGTAGAATATAATAATGTGTCAAATCAAAACAATAGAGGTTCTTCCGATTTATCACTTTCGAAATTATTTAGTTTGCTTTTATACTTGGAAGACGATATAGTAACAATTCAGGAAAAAATCAGTATTCTTGGTTATACTAATCAAGAAATGGCAGAAGAAGCTGATAAAAATGCGAGAGTGTACCTCCAAAGATTTGAGAAATTTCACGGCCCCTTAGAAGATGATCTAGGTGTGTTAATAAAGAAATTCGCTGATATAGGGGTAAAGAAATTTTGGTTTACTGGTGAGGGACTACCATTATTTCCAAATGTCTCTCCTCAACAATTACATGAAGTTTTCGTCAAAAAATTAGCTAACATCGATCAGTGTCCATGTCTAAAATCAAAAGTAAAACAAGAAAAATTATCACAGATATATATACATCATGGTAAATAAAAATTCTTTGTTTGAAATTAGCTGGGGCTGTCGAATATACGATTACTCGCTCTATTCTTCTATAGCCAGAATAATGTGCTTTCTGCGATATTATTTAATGATGTATAATATAACCGAAAAAATAACTCGGTAAACAATTACCATTCTCCGCTACTAAATATAATTATTTGTAACCCATGATGGGTAACTAGAAATATTCACACCAGTCTCTCTTATATACAGTAGTTATGACCCAAAGGGTCGCCCCTAAAGGGCCTGATTGCAGAAATTAAATCTGTTCTAGCTAATGATGGAGCTTATTCGCATTTTGATGATATCGATCTTTGGCTTGCTTCATAAATGATCCGCCTGGTCGATAGAGCCACTCAATTACTGCGTGCTGGATTATTTTAGCGGAATTAATTTGTTTTCTCCATAAGCGATATGTCTGCTGAATAATTAATGACGCACGATTTTTATTATATAATGCTAGTTGTACTTTAAAATCCCTATAATTAGGGTCATTACCTATTTGCTTATGGCTGGTCAAATTATTTTTGATACGAAATACAAAATTTTCCCAATAATCTCTACTATTTATTTCGTATCCTAGTTTTAATAAACGCTTGCGTACGTACTTTGGTGGATAATATTTTGCAAACCGTAACCATGCTTCTGATGTTTTAATATTGTTAACGATATAATTTTCACCATATTCACTTAACCTGTCTCGCACTCTGCTATAACTCGTTATATATTTGCTACTTATTCAGACGTATTTAATATGGTTTTAACTGGCACTTTGTTATAATAATATATTTAATATCATATTTTTTGCTTGGTATTAATAAATAATATTATGACATCAACAATGACCGAAACTGATAAATCCGTATCCCGGATTTCTCTTCACCAATTACTGGAGATAGTAAAACCCGAGGTTCAGCAAGAACTTATAAACTCGATAGTAAATCCCGATATTTCTCGAAGAAATCGTACACCATGCAAGGCTAAAAGAAAAAAATTAATTTTTAACGATACCGCATCTGAGTCCTCGTCTTCATCTGAATCTGGTTCCGACTCTGAATCGTCTAATAATGACGAAGATTTTACTGTGAATGTGGTGAAAGCAAAGAAGCGTGGTTAGTAATTAATCATAGATTTGAAACGGTCTTGCTTGGAGTATTTTTTCCAATATAGGATCCCACGAAGTCATAATCTGAATTTGAAAATAAAGCAATATTATTACAGTAAACATTGTAATGGAGGTTTGGAAATCTATACCAAATTCAAGTTATTTTATTTCGAATCTTGGGCACGTCAAAAATAAAAAAGGTACAATTTTAAAAGGACATATACACAAAGGAGGCTACATACGATCAGATTTTTATATTAATGAAATTCGTACTCAATCTTATATTCATAGATTAGTTGCAGAAGCATTTATTCCTAATTCAGAGAATAAGCCTTTTGTTAATCATATTAATGGTATCAAGACTGACAATCAAAAAGATAATCTGGAATGGGTAACTTCTAAAGAAAATAATAATCGCAAAGTATTCCCAAATCCCGGACAGTGTAGATCTCGAAAAGTTATACAAGTAGGATTAGATGGTAATATTATTCAGATTTGGGATTCACTTTCTCTTGCGCAAGATACACTTAATAATCATAAAAGTGCTATCTCATTGTGTTGCAGTGGAAAACGAAATTCTGCTAGAGGATGGCGTTGGATGTATTATGAAGATTATATAGATCCTGACCCCAATGAAGAATGGAGAGAGATAGAATTCGATTCAGAAATATTTAAGGTATCATCCTTAGGTAGAGTTCAGACAATAAATGGTATGATTACACAAGGGTCATCGTTAATGGGATATCTTAAAATTGGTAGAGGATTACAAAGTTATTTGATACATCGTTTAGTAGCATTAGCTTTTTGTCCGAAAGAGCAAGGTAAGAATTATGTAAATCACTTGGACGGAGATCCCACTAATAATAAAGCTTCAAATCTTGAATGGTGTACACAAAAAGAAAATATGCAACACGCTGTACGTATTGGACCTTGGGATGGCTGGATGCGACAACGCGCTGTTAAGCAAATTTTCGATGATGGCTCTATTCAAGAATTTCCATCTTTAACTGAAGCACAACGTATAACTGGAATTCCTAGTTCAAATATCGGAAGAGTGTGTAGAGGAATTCAAAGTTATGCTGGAGGATATTGTTGGGAATATATAAATCCAATGATACATAATAAGAATTGATTAGTTTAATTACGAAATTACTAATCTGTCATTAATTCTCATCATTGATCCGAAATGGTTTTGCATGTTCAGGAGGGGTATTTCTTGGACGATAATTCACTACAACGTAATTCTGAACCGGAGAAGTGTAGTTATTAGGGTTGTGACGTAAACACTGTCCAGCAATTGTCATAAAATCTGCTGGAGTTTTAGCATGTACTACAACGTCATAAACCGCTCCTAATTTACGTAAGTGTTTAGGAATTAAACCATAGTCTTTTAAGAACCTGTTGAACCACTTAACTCCTGGTTTACCTGGATTGCCCATCCGACCAGAAGAAATAGAATTCTGTATCCAGGTTAGTAATTCTTTGGCTCATTCTTGGTTCTTCTCCATAGATCTAAATTTTCGAGGGACGTCTGGTTGTCCCCTGTTCTTTGCGTAGCCTGTCACTCCAGCATCTGTAATGCGTAAAGTTATAAGCTCAGCAGGACGTATACAAAGCATTATTGTAACATCCGCTAGAGCCTGATAATCGGGCAGAGTTTTTAAATCGTACGCATCTAACCTTTCTTTGACCGATTCCAATGTAAAATGATCTGGATAATTAATAGGATTGGTTTCAGCTTTTTTCTGATTATCTTTCTGAATTTTGTTAGCTTCTTCTGTAATATCTGGAAATTTCGTAGCTTCAATTATTGTAGGTGAAGCACCAAGGTTTCTTAATTCTCTTCTGAGTCAAGAAAGACGTGATGAACCAGCATTAGCATTTTTTGCTGATAGGGCTAAGGCATAAGCTTCAGCTCTTATATCTCTAATGCTAAGTTTATCCCGTAAAAACCGTTGTGCCATATCTTCGATGCTTTCTTCCTTTAATCGTTTTGGAGGTTTGTTAGAAATCACTATATTTACGGTCTTATTTTCGTTTTCCTGGGTAGAGAGGTGACATAAGTCACTTTGCACAGCAAATAAGTTATCCACTTGACCCTCACTAAACCCATATCTATTTTGCAAAATTCGTTTTGCTTTCTCTCTGATGATCTCTTCTTCCGAACTTTTTGGGAGCTTGGTTACAACTATTCGACAATTACCTTCAACTAAATTTATAATTTTATTTTTCCCACCTCTCTGATTCGGTATCAATACACCTACCTGCTCATCGATAAATTTGAATCCTTCTCGAAGACGCCTGCGTGCCTAATTCCGCTTTCTATAATCAGTTAGATTCTCGAGAAACTCTGAGCTGAGATCAGCCACACTCATCTCGGAACTGAGATTATATTTTTCTACGATTTTAGTTGCAATGGCTGACATGTTTGAATGTATAATAGGTTGAGTAGGTTATGAATAGTTCTTTAGGTTATATACACTACAGAGATTCTTTTTTCAAATCGAAATTAATTATCTCGGATCAATATACAGTATCTAGTATTTACCTAAAAAATTGAATGAGTCTCGGTTATTGTAATTCTATTGGAAAATGGACGCGAACAAGACACGGAATAAATCAAAGGTTTTAGAATTCATAGCTTTGCGTAATAAAATCACTAAAAATATCAATGGGATCAAAGAAGATATAGCATTACTTAGGCACGTAAGTGTCATCATTCCATAATAAGAGGTCCTGGAAAAAATAATCAATATACACGTGTGCCAGGTATATGATTATACTTCGTGCATAGAATCGGGTAAGTCAGATACATAATTCTTAAACATGATAATTTGTGCACATAACTCATCCTGCTTTTTTCTGTGATAATTCTCTTTACTTTTATATTTGCCTACATGTTTATAGCATGCATTGTATTTAGACCTATTTGACTCACCACAATCTCTACAAGGAGTAGGTATTGGAGAGTTACGATGAATATAACATCTTTCTGATTTACTATGTCGACCACAGATTTTTCCAGTTCTATGAATATATGAGCAATGGTATAATGCCATCGTGATTCGGAATAATTAATTTTATTTTAAAGATTTATCTATCAATTATTATAATTTCAAAAACATATACTTTTTGTCAGATCAAACAACGCATATATACAAATAACACATATACAAATCAATAAATGAGTTTGTCTAGTGAAGCAAAAAAACGGCTTCGTGAATCATTATTGTCGAGCAATGGCTCTTCGAGCCTACAACAACAATGCTTAAATCAAAAGTCAACCGAATATAATGAAGCAAAACGGCTTTTTATGGGTTTAACAGATCTTGATTATAAACCCAGCCATAAAGAACATACATTTTATAAATACTGGCTTGCATCCAATGGCCATACTGATAAAAATGATACAGCGCTTTTAGATGCATATCGACCTGAAGCGATTTATTCTCAATATATAATTCGGACGGCAGGAAAAGGTTATACAGTGATCGATCATCCTTCTGAAGTTTATAGAATGCCAAATACACACGAATGTATTGATGGAAATCGGCCTCTTCGCTTAATAATCGATATTGATGCAAGGCAAAAACCTGATCCTATAAATTCTGAGCTCCCTACTTTAGATAGTGAAAAAATTACACGAGAAGATTTGTTATCTCGAATTTTAGTCGCTTGTGCAGATGCATTAAGCCTAATACCAGATTGTATGCCTTTATTAAATTCTTTTGCTTTAGCAAGCTCATCAAATGCTGAGAAATGTAGTTGGCATATTATTTATCCTCGGGCTCAATTCATAGATTATAAAGAACTTAAAGGTTTTACAGAAAAAGTTATAGAATTAGTTGGAAAACCTTATTCCAAATTCATTGATGTTGGCCTTCCCAAATCGCGTTTTAGTCTTCGGCTCCTTGGATCAGCAAAAGAAGAACGCATAAAAAGACCTGCTATTTCTTCTGTCAAAAATGGATTTCAAAAGTTAGATGATTATCTGGTTCAGCCTAGAGAGAATTATTCCATAATTTTGCCACGAACCTTTTCTTCTGAGGAGTCGGTAAAACAAGAATCCCAGCCCATTGACGAAAACGCTTTGACCAAAGGTGCTAATTTAGTTATCGAAAAATATGGGTGGCTCCAGATTGGAAGAATCGAGAAGGGATTTATCAACTTTTAAAGCACAATTTGTTAAAGAATGCCCTATATGTGACGTTAAACATGATAAGGACCAACTCTATGGATTTATTCGAAAAAATTGGCATTTCATACTTAAGTGTTATCGCCAAAAACAATACAAACCAGATCACAAAGGCCTTAGCTTCGACAAGGTATCAGATAAAGTCGAGTTGAAAGAAAAGTCCAAGAAGTGGAGATTATGCGAAAGATTACCCAAGGCTCTATCAACTCCATATCAATTTCCCGAATTACCTGGAGAAAGTATTAATGTAAAAGAAATGGAGGATGCTATAGATGCTTTTCCAGACTTTTTAAGTGAAGAGCCTAGCACCACTCTTATTCGTTCTACTGTAGGTACTGGAAAAACGAAAACATTAAGAAAAATTTTGGCATCTTTAGCTCAAAGCGGTACCAATTTACCTTGTACTATCTGGGTATCATATCGCAAAACTCTTAGCAATGAATCTGAAGCTAAACTTAAAAAATTGGAAAAATTCGATTTCAAAGTAGGGCAATATCAGAATATTGTGGCCGACCTAAAGACACATGAGTGGGATCTTATTATCGTACAAGTTGAAAGTGTTCTTCGTCTTGATTTTCAAGGGAGTCGTTCCTGTATAGCAATTTTAGATGAAGCGAATGCCACTATGCGTCAAATGGCTAGTGGAGTTCATGCTCGAAAATCTTTCAATGCTATGTGCGATTTGTTAAATGTAGCTACTCATGTTGTTGTTATGGACGCTTTTGCAAATGATTCAACTTTAGCTTTCTTAAAATCATATCGAGGTGAGAATGTTCGAGTTATTGATAACAAATATCAACCACGTAAAGAAGAGATTGTTAAATTTCTTTATGATCCAGATAAAGGTTCAGAAGCTATACGCAGAGGTTTTAGAATGCTCCAAGAAGGTAAGCATGTTGCATTTGTAATGACCTCATGTAAAAAGGCTCAAGCCTTAGCTAATCAAGCATCTAAATTGCAAAAACCGGATGGTTCATTCATTTTATCGCGAGTTTATTTTGGTCAAATGGATGGGAAACAATGCCAAGATGATTTTGCTAATATTGATGCCACCTGGAGCGCTCTTGACTGTGTAATTTATACAAGCACCATGGAAGCTGGCATCTCCTTTGAAATACCTGGTTATTTTGATGCAGTTATAGGAATTACAAATATTGCTACTTCCGTCCATGTTAAAGCATTTGCTCAGAATTCGTGACTGCCCATTACATATGGTTTCTCTTTATCATAGCAAAAAATTTGATATTTTCAAAGAACCATGTCGGGAACCCATTCGGGCTGAACTTTCAGCATTAAGACCTGGAGACTTACCAACAATAATAAAAGGCCAGCGTACATGGGATAAAATTGCTGACTGTTATGCACTTAATTTATCTCCAGCAGTAGAAACCTATATCGAAGTTTAATATCAAAGACGCTTATCAG